TCAGCTGCTGGACGTGGTAGGATGGGTCTTGTTTTCTCCTCCTGAGCTTCCTTGCAGCCGAGTAAATCCCCAGGGGATAGAAGGGTCAGTGCCTGTTTGGTCTGGGGGTTTCCCACAGAGGCAGGGTGGCAGGCTGGGTGCTGGCATCCCACAGCTTGCACACTCCTGTGTGTCCCCTGTGTCCCCATGGAGAAGGGATTGCATCTCTGGCTCCTGTGTGCCTGGTGCAGACGTGCCCAGACCCTTGGGCCAAGCTCTGGCTTTAGGCAGGGCTCTCTTTAGGAGAGCCATAATGGGGAAGACAAAATACATCTTTTTATGAGTCCTGCATCTTTTGTCAGCTTGTGTGTCCCAGGGGAGGCAGCAGGAGGGCACTGCACCAGGGGGTGGTTGATGCCAGTTCCCAGCCCTGGGAAGCCTCCTGGGGTTACTCAGCTGCAAGGAAGCTGGGGCTGTGCTGGTGCTCCCCAGCCTGTCCTCGCCCAGCCCAGGCCCTGCTCTGTGCCAGCTCCTATAGGGAGCCCTTGCCCACCCACCCAGGGGTTGCCCCAAAGCCTGGGGGCGCAGGGTGGCACTGCCCTGCTCAGAGCCCAGCCCCAGCAGTGTGGCACTGCCAGGAGCCCAGGGCACCGTGCCAGGATGGGCTGTGCCTGTTGTACACCTCACCGAGTGCCTTTAAACACGGGCTGGACTTGCCTAAAGCACTGGGTGAAGTCCAGCAAAATCTGCAAATGTTTTCAGCCCGGGAACTGTCACGAGGGGTTTGGCTCCGTTTTTTGAGGTTCTGGTGGTGGTGTGTCTGGTGAGGGTGTTGGCGTGCCCGGGATTTCCGTCCCCCCCTTTTTTTTGGGGGGTCCCTGTAAATATGTACAGTGGCCGTGCAGCCCCGGCATTTCCTCTGCATTCTCATGTGCTGACTTGTACAATGATCTTTTCAAAGGTACTTGGATAAAATGAAATAAAACCCCACATCCCACTGCCTGCTGCTTTTTTTCCTTCCCTGTGGAGCAGGCCCAGGCCCTCAGCAGCCTCTGGGGTGGACAGAGGATGGGGCAGGGTTGGTGAAGGGCACAGGGTGGGACTGGGGCTGCTCTGAGCTCCCTGGAGGGGTGGCTGAGCACATCCTGGCCCAACAGGACCAGCATGTTGCCCCTGAAGGAATGGCTCAGCAGAGAGGGGGCAGTGCTGGAGTTGCCAGAGGCTACAAGCCAGGCTTACATGCCAGTAGAACCCCATGTTGCCTGCCTTGGCTGTGACAGCAGCTCCTGGGGATTGCCTGGGTCTGGTGTGTCATGAAGGAGAGACCCCAGCTGGTCCCCCATCACCTGAACCCCACCATTGCAGCACGGAGAGCTCCTTGGCCACCTGGTGCCAGTGCAGGGTTGCCAGGATCAGTGCAATGGCGCAGCTGCCCCAGGAGGACACAGGCCCTAGACAGGTGGCTGCTCCCAGCACATAGACACAGACACAGAGCAGAGCCCACATTGTTTCCAGTGGTTTATAGCGCATGCCTGCGTAGGACAGGGCTCACAGCTCATCCCGGGATTCGTCCGTCCGCGGCGCACTTGGGTCCTCCTTGCCCGTGCCGTTCCCAGGGGCCTTGGTCACCTGGAGAAGGCGGCAGTGAGGCATGGAGGGACACACACTCCCTGCCTGACCCTGTCCCTGTCCCAGCCTGCAGGATCCATCCCCCAGCCCCTGACCTCACTCACCGGAGGCTCCTCAGGCAGTGTCCCCCCATTTTCCAGGAACTTGGAGAAGGTCTCCACATCTCGGCTGCTCTTATACTCAATCATCTGGAGCCACGGGAGCAGAGGGCATTGAGGGTGCCACCATCCCCCAGGTGCTGGTGGCCCCACCAGTGCCCACACGTACCTTCCTGCCCGGCCCTGCAGGGAAGTAGTGCAGGGTGGGGTAGCCGTGGATGGTGATGTTCTCCAGCTCGTTGGCTGTGGAGTCCATCTTGGCGATGACGATGTCCTCGCGGTCCTTGTAGCGCTCGGCCAGCTCCTCCCAGGCGGCCTCCATGGCCTGGCAGTGGGGGCACCACGGTGCATCTATGGGGTGGGGACACTGAGCAGGCGGCTGGGACAGGGCTGGGGCTGTCCTGGAGGGGCTGAGCCCCACGGCAGAGCTCAGGGAGGGATGTGGGTGACGCTTACAGAACTTGACAAAGACGTTCTTGGTCTCATCAAAAGCCACCTGCTCGAAGGTCTTCCCCACCAGGACTTTAACAGGCCGTGTGTCCCAGTCCTCAGGGGGCTCTGCACTCAGCAGGCGAGGCTGTGGGGACAGTCAGGGCAGCCACAGCCTGGGCTGAGCAGTGCCAGAGGCCCCTGGGGCACAGTGCAGGCTGGGGCAGGGGTGTGTTCCTGTGCTGCCTTTTGGACCACATCTTCCCTTCTGCTGCCATCTCAGCTCTGTGTGTCTCCACGGCAGCAGTTTCCTGCCCCCTTGCCCATAACAAACCCCAAATCCTCAAGCCTGGCAGCAGGAGCACCAGCAAACAGGTCCCTGCTGTTCACCACACAACCATCCATCATCCTTGGGCTCCCGAGCCAACAGCCCATCTCTCCCCACAGGGCAGAGCCCATCATGCTGCTGCCCTCACCTTGATCTTGCCATCCAGCACGCCCTGGATGAAGGTGCGGATGGCCGACTCCGAGAAGTTGTCCTGTTCCATCTGGTACTTGCGGTTGTTCTTCATCCTCACCAGGCGCAGGGTGGGGGCGTCAGCAGCGGTCATGCCAAAGAAGGACAGGACATTGGCGCCGTGCCCGGTTACATCCACCACCACAAAGAGCACCTGGGCAGGGAACAGGGGACACTGAGCCTGGGGAGTCCCAGAGCCACCCTCCGTGTCCCTTCCATTGGGCCACCTCACCTCACCCCTGAAGCCACCGGCAGCTGCCCTGAAGCCGTCCTGCAGTGACAGCTGATCCGGTGAGGACTTGTTGAGGAAGAGTAGCATGTGATGAGGGATCTTGGCACTGAAGATCTGGTTGGAGGTCTGGGGAGGAGGAGGACAATGAGGGCAGGGCAGCCGTGGCCGTCAGGGGACAGTGGCAGGGCTGGGGACGGGCTGTACCTCGTTGGTGAACTCCATCACCAGCTGCAGGCTGTGGACGCGGAGCAGCCGCGTGAGCTCGGCCGTGTTCAGCCCCCGTGCCGGGTCCACAGGGAAGTTTGTCTGTCTCTCATCAAACTGCCAGGGCAGGGGCCTGTGAGGGCTGAGGGGAGGGCAGGATGGCCCCACCACGCCCCTGCCACCCCCTCACCTTCTTGAACAGGCAGACGGTGTCAGCTGACAGCCCGTAGGCCTGGAAGAGCTCAGCTGCCTCTGCCACGCCGAACGTCAGGTCCACCATCTCAGCTGCCACCTCGAAGAACGCCTGGGCTGCCTCACCCTCCAGGTCCTGCACAGCCACCCGTGAGCGCCACAGCCACGGCCACAGCCATGGTCCAGCCCCAGCCAGCCCCAGCCCACCTTGAAGAAGCCGATGGCCACCAGGTCCTGGGAGTCAATGAAGGCTGCGGTGGTGTCGGTGTCCTGCAGCAGCGTGGCGCTGGGGCCCGCCCGGCGCTGCATCCAGAGCACGATGCCCTGGCTGTCCATGCGGCCTGGCACACAGATGTCACCTGACACCCCTCTCCAGGCTGCCACCCCTCCCTGTGCCACCAGCCTCAGCCACCCGCCACAGCACGATGGCACTGCCCACCATCACCACCTCAGACATCACACTGTCACCTGTCCGTTATCACCACCAGGACATTGCCACCCCTCTCACCATCACCACCCTGGGACACCCACAAGGACAGTGCCACCATCAACCATTGGCCCCTGCCACCCTCCCCAGCCCCATGGCAGTGTCCCCCGTCGATGGGTGCCAGGGACACTGTGTGGAGCCTCAGCCCTACCGGTGTATTCCAGGGGGTGGGTGCGATTGCCATCACGGAAGAGCTTGAGCGTGGGGTAGGAGGTGATGCCAAACTCAGTGGCCAGGGCTGTCTGTGCCGTGGCATCCACCTTGCCCAGCCGGGCTGGGCTGGACTCGTTCCTCAGCTCGGTGGCTGCCTGGGCAAAGGCAGGAGCCAGCTGCTGGCAGTGCCCACACCACGGCGCATCTGTGGGCAGGGGACAGCATTGATAACGGGGACAGGTGTGGGGATGGCTGTGTGAGCCCACTGGGCCCCAGCCTGTGCCCCTGTCCCACACCCACACCATGTTTTGTGTCCCATGCCAGTGCTAAACACCCTCACCCACGCTCTGCGTGTGTCCCTGCTCTGCGTGTCCCCACCCCGTGCCCTGTCACATGGCCTGTGCCCTTGTCCCTCTGTCCCACAGCCTTGCCCCTGCCCACCCCGCCTCCTGTGCCTCCTGTGCCCTGTACCCTGCTGTACCTGTGTCCATGTCCGTGTTCTGCCCACACTCAGCCAGGCCGATCCCCCTGCCCACATTTCCTGCCCCACTCCTGCCCTGCCCACAGCCCTGCCCGCCCTGGGGCACTCACAGAACTCCACCAGCAGCAGCTGGTGCTCACTCAGGGCACGGGCAAAGTTGTGCTCGTGGAGCACCAGGACATTGTCCTCCTCCTTGATCTCATCTGAGAGCACTTCATCCTCTTTCTTCTCCTTTTCCTCCTCTTCTATCACCTCTTCATCCTCATCCTCGCCCCCCAAAGCCGGGCCCAGCCAGGCCAGCGACAGCACCAGCAGCCAAACCAGCCGGGACCCGCAGCCGCGCATGGTGCCGGCGCTGGAGATGTTGTCCAGGGAGGAGGACGCAGATAAGGGACCTGGGGGCGGGTTGTGCCTGTCCCCTGGGGCTCGTGGCCCTCCGCTACTGGCTGCCCGGCCCGGCCGATAAGGCAGCGGGACCAGGTGGCGTTTTCCAGAGCTTGTCCCCCAGGGAGACCTGGCCCCGCCAGCGGGATGGGGACAGGGAGCAGGGGACAGGGAGCAGGGGACAGGCATAGGCGGTGGGGACACAGAGACACCAGTAAGAGACCAGTCTGTAGGGTTTAATGGCGATGGAAGAGCACAGCCTGCGAGCGGGCGGGTACCGGGCACGGCACCGCCACGGCAGGGTCACAGCCCCGGCCCCAGCCATGGGCACGCCGTGAGGACCAGGCGGGCGTCGAGGTTTAAAAAAAAAGAGCAATTAAAAATAACTTTGGTTGCGAAGACCACGACCACGGGCTCTCACTCGCTAAGGGACCCCCCCGAACCCCTGACGCGACCGGGGCAAGCGCGGCGGTGCCGGGACGGCGGCCCCCGGGCCCCGAGCGCGGGGGGAGCGGCAGCGGGGCGGGCTCAGTCCTCCCAAGCCTTCTTTATGCACAGGCCCCACTCCCAGCTCAGGTGCTCGGCCTTGTCGTCGTCGGTGACGAGCGAGCGGACGCGGTAGGAGCCCCGCGCCAGCCACCCCCGCGGCGCCTCCTCCGCCGGCGTCACCACCTCGTACTCCTCGGCCCGCGGCGCGTAGCTGCCCACCATGAACACGTCGCGGTCCACTGGGCCGGGAGGGGACAGAGGGACGGGTGAGCGGGGCCGGGGTGCCGTGGGGGTCCCCAGCCCCCGCCCCGGCCCCCAGCCCCACTCACCGGGCCGGCCCCGGCGGTAGGTGAGGTGCAAGCAGCGCAGCCCGCAGACGATCTCCCTGTTCACCTGCGGGCACAAGGCAGGGGGATCTTGGGGACTGTCCCCATGGCATGGAGACCCCTGGCATCCTGACATCCACAGCTTCCAGGATGTCAGGATTCAGCAGCATCAAAGGTGGCAGGGACTCCAGGCTGGCAGGTAACTCCAAGAGGGGCAGAAACTCAGAGATGGCAGGGATCCCCCTCAGGAGGGGCAGGGACCTCTAGGAAACCCTTGGATACCAGCACTGCTGGGATCTCTGGGAGAAATGAGGATGCTGGGGTGGCAGGAACCATGGGGTGGCAGGAACCATGGGGACAACAAGGACCTCCGGGGTGGCAGTGACCCAGGAGGGAACTCAGGATGGGCAGAGACCCCCAGAGGGGCACAGGGGTAAAGGGTGGAGGCAGATGTGCCAAGGCAGAGACCCTGGGACAGGCAGGGACCCATGGGTGGCAGGAGGGACACTGTGGGGCAGGGTCCCAGGGCAACAAGGACCCCTCAGGGTGGGGACCCTGTGGTGTGAGGGCAGCAGGGCCATGCCCAGCCAGCGGGCACAGGGCACCACACACTCCCTTCACCTTGAAGGACACCTTCACTCTGTAGTCCACCCCTTCCTTCAGCACAAAGGCCCGGCCTCTCAGCTCCTCCAGGTCTCCTGCACAGGCAGATGGTCCATCAGCCCAGTACCCCTTCCTCCTCCCCCTCCTCCTCCTCCTCCTCCTCCCCAGGTGTCCCCAGGCTCACCTGTCAGGTCCATGGTGATGGGCCCTGGCGCCTGCTCGCACATCAGTGTCAGCTTTGTCACCTGCACGTTGGGCACGCTGGCATCTGGGGACAAGCAGCAGGGCCCAGCCCTTACCAACCATGGCCAGCCCCACCATCACCTCCATCCCAGAGAGCCAAGGGGCAGCTCATGGTTGTGTGGGAAGGGCCACAGTGTCCATGGAGGGGGTGTTAAAGCAAGTGGGTGCCAGGCAGGGCACAGAGCAGGTGCACCTCAGGTCACCCCACCACTGCCCTTTGGGGTAAGATGACATCTAAAGGACCCTGACATGGGTATTTCCCAGGGGATACCATTCCCTGGCTCGGGAGCAGAACAAGGGGGAGCAGAGGATGAGGATGCAGCACGTGCAGCCAATGCACCCCTTGAGGTGAGCACTGGTCTCATTCACCCCACAGCCCACCCTGCCCTGCCCCAGCTTTCACACACACCACGGTGCCCCCCCATGCCCCCGCTGCTGTGCCAGCCCTCCCCCCCCCAGTTTGCACCCTCCTGGATGCATTCCTGGACGGACGCTGGTGCTGGGCCCGTGGAGCTCCCCGGGCACCCCCAGAGCAGAGCAGCACCGGCCCGGGGTGGGGAGCCCGTGGGGGCCGTGGGGGCACGGTCTGGTCCCCCCGGCAGCGGTGCTGCCCCGGTGTTCCACCCCCGCCCCCGCCGCTCGCTCCTCTCAGTCATCCCCATGAATTTCCCGGTTCCCTGTAGCCGTTCCTATGGAAACTGCGGCGGTGATCCCGTCACCACGGCAACTGCGGGGTCCCCGGGCCCCGGCGCTGTCGGCGGGGAATGCCGGGCTCCGTGCGCGGGTGGGGGGCACGGGCGGCACCCACGGGCGATTCCACCGGGATGTGCCCTCCCCGCCGGGGATGCCCCGCGGGGCGCTCCCTGCCCGAGCTCCCCGAGCCCGCTGGGGCCGCCCGGGTGCCCAAAGCCGCCCGCAGCCCCAGCCTTACCCACGGCAGCGGGGATGGCGCCCAGCAGCGCCTGCTTGTATTTCCGCAGGCTCTCATCCCCCGGGTCCAGCTCCTGGATCTCCCGCAGGCTCTTCTTCTCCGGCGTCTTGTACGCCAGGGCCGCGTCGGCATCCTCCTCCTCCTCCTCCAGCGATAGCGTCACCCCCTCCTTGTCAGCCATGATGTCTGCGGGGGACAGGCGGTGGCAGCTCCGGGGACACCCCGGGGACACCCCGTGCCCCCGACACGGTGGCTCCGCTGGGCAGGGGGCGGCTGGGCTGTGACAGGGGAATCCCGCGGGGAGGCCAGGCCGGTGCCCTGCCGGAGCCGAGGCCAGGCTGCCGGGCTCGGTGTCCCCAAGGCCTGGTGGCACAGCTGAGACCCGCGGTGTCGCCGCCGGCTGAATTCCGCACGGTCATGGAGCAGGGCGAGCTGGTGCCTGCGCGCTGGGCCCGCTCTGGGGGGCGCTTGGAGACCCCTCCAGCCCCCAGAGCCCCTTGGTGTCACCCGGAGAAATCCCTGTCACTGCCTCGCAGCCCCTCCAGCCCCACTGGGCACCCTCCAGCCCCATCTCCCGCCCCAAACCCAAACCAGCGGCTCTGCAGGGCAAAGAGGCATCGCTGGGATGGTGGCTCCGGTGGCTCTGGTGCTGCCAGACTGCTCGGGGGGCACAAGCAGGGCTGATGTCCCCGCAGTCCCCGACTCTCCCTGCCCACTGCATCACCACCCCACTCCTGTGACTGCGAGCGCTGAGCTCCCCAAAACCCCCGAACTCCATCCCGGGGGACACGCTGGGAATACAGCACGGGGCAGAGAACGCTGCCTGCTCAGCCCCGGGGCAGCAGGGCCAAAACTCGGGGTCGGTCTGGCCAAGCTGTGGGTCCCAGGGCAGGGACAGTGATGGGGACACAGCAGTGGCAGCGATGGGGACACAGCAGTGGCCCTGCTGCCCCTCTGCCCCCCCCCGCGGCCCTGCCCTCGGCTGTCACGGCAGCATGGGGGCACTCCCAGCCCAGGGATGCGCCCACCCCGGGACTCGGGGCTGCCCGCGGGTGGCAGGGCAGGATGGCCTGGGCCAGATGCCACAGGCTGCGAGGGGGACAGCAGGGATCTCCCCCGTGGGACGCTCCGGTTCCCCCGGGCCAGGAGTGCTGCTCTCTCACGGACGCACCGGATGCCCGGGGGATGCTCACGGACTGGCACTCGGAGCGATGCCCGCCCTCCCTCCCTCCCTCCCGGGCAATGCCCCCCGGCGCTGCCCCCCGGCCGCCGCCGCTCACCTCGGTAGCACAGCGCCAGCCAGAGCAGCTCCAGCAGCTGCCCGCCGGCCTCGCACACGTCCAGGCCGAGCATGGCCGGGCCGTGCCGGGCCCGCCGCCCCCGGGGCCGGGCGGGGCGGCCGCTGGCGGGGCCCGGGGCGCGGCTCTGCCGGTGCCGGCGGCTCCTCCCGCCCGCTGCCGCCGCGCTCGGCGGTGCCGGCTGCTCCCGAGCGCTCCCCGCTGCGCTTCCCGGCGCTGCCCGGCGCGGCCCGGCGGGGCGGCGGCGGCTCCCGCAGACGCGGCGGCTCCGCTGCCCGCCCCCGCCCGCCCCCGCCCCTCGGCGGCTCCAGCCCCGCCGCTCGTGGGCGGCGAGACTGCAGTGAGCTCATCGCCGGGCGCGCCCGCCCCGCGCTGCCCGCACCCCGCGAGCCTCCTGGTGTACCCTCAGTGCACTGTGTGCATCCCAGAGCATCCTCTGGGTACCCTCGGTGCACTGCCTGCATCCCAGAGCATCCTCTGGGTACCCTCGGTGCACTGCCTGCATCCTAGGAGCCTCCTGCCTGTTATCTCAGGGCACTGCCTGCATCCCAGAGCATCCTCTCTGTACCCTCAGGGCACTGCCTGCATCCCAGAGCATCCTCTCTGTACCCTCAGGGCACTGCCCATGCCATGCCCGCACCCTGCCCAGCACCTCGCTCGCAGTTCCCGCACCGTGCCCGCGCTGTCCGGAGCCCCGCACGCTGCCCGCACCCCTCGAGCATCCCTCCTGTCCCCTCAGCGCTCCGCCCGCCCCCTGCCCGCGCCGCCATCCCGCAGCCACAGCGGTGCGGGTTCCCCTCCGGGGCACCGGGAGGCTGCGGGGGCAGCGGGGGCCGGGTTGCCGGGGGTGCCACGGGCAGGGTCAGATCGGCCCCGGGGGTCGGGGCCGGGGTTCGGGGCTCCCGGTGGAGGCGGCGGCAGGCGCGGGGGGACAGCGGGGCGGGACCGGGCGGGGCCGGGGCGGGGCCGGGCCGGAGGCGCGGCGCGGGGCGCGCACCCGCGATGACCATCGGCGGCCCCCGCGGCCGGCACCCCCGCCTCCAGATGCCCTGTCTGCGCAAGGTGAGCCGCACCGGCACCGGCAGCCGCCCCGCGGGGAGCGGGCACCGCGCCGGGGCACGGCGGAAAAGGGCACCTCCAACGAGGGGAGCGGGCACGGCGGGCACCCGGTGTTGGGGCTGTGGGGATCGGGCACAGGCATCGCGGGGCGGCGGTGCCGAGGGCACCGGCACCGTGTGGATCGGGTACCGGGCGCTGGGACTGTGCAGACTGGGGCACCGGCGCCGTGCGGAGCGGGGACGGGGCGCGGGGACCGTGGGGACCGGACGCTGACACCGCGCTGGTTTACGCGGGCACCGGGGGCCGCCGGCGGCGCGGGTGTGGGATCGGCGGGGAGCAGGGGAGCAGCACCGCGCAGCGAGCCCGGGACAGCGGGCACAGCCCGGCCCGGCGCCGCCACGGGCACCGGGAACCGCCCCACGAGGGAACACCCGCGGGCCGCGCCCGGAGCTGCGTGCCCTGCTCCCCACGCCGGGCTGGGCTGCTGCCAGAGCCTCGGCAGAGCTCACTCCCCAAAACCGGGGTTCCCCGGGCCGGGGATGCCCGGAGGATGAGTGTCTGCAGCTCCAGCATCGGCTGCCGGGTGCCTCGGTCAGGCTGTGGCACGCCAGGCTGTCCCCAGGCTGGGCACTGGGTGCCCGGGGGCACTGCGGGGTTCTGGGCTGTCCCCAGGCTGGGCACTGGGCGCCCCTGTCGGGTTGCAGGGACCCGGGTTGTGCCCAGGTCACAGGGTTCTCGGGTCACAGTGAGGGGAGCCAGGCTGTGCCCAGGCCCGGAGCCGCCGTGGCGGGGCTGAGCACGGCGGTTCTTGCCCGGCAGATGGAGCGGATGATCGTCAGCATGCAGGACCCCGACATGGGCATCAAGATGAGGAACCAGCGCTTGCTCATCACCGTCATCCCCCACGCCATGACAGGTGGGTGCCCTCGATGGGGAAGGTGGGGAAGGCGTGCGGGAGCTCCCCGGGTGTCCCCAGCCCCGCAGCACCGCCGGCCCCGCCGCTCCCCTCCCGCGCCCCTTGCTCCGCTCTGCAGCTGGGATCAATTATGCATCGGCTGCGCGGGGCGGGCGCTCGCTCGTCCTTGGCAGGGCCCCCGTCACCCCGCGTGACCCCTGGCACTGCCATGCTGTGCCAGGTGCCCCGGCCGAGAACACCCCCATATCAGTGTGGGGATCCCCCCTGCACCCCACTAACGCGGCCTTCATCCCTAGGGAACGACATCGTGGAGTGGCTCATCCAGAAGTACGGCATCACGGAGGAGGGTGAGTGCCCTGGCACAGGCAGTGGCACCGGGGAGTCAACTGGGCTGCCGAGCCTGCACGCAGCCCGCAATCCCTTTGCACAGAGTCGCTGCACCTCGGCAACCTGATCGTGAAGCACGGCTACATCTACCCGCTCAAGGACCCGCGCTCGCTGGTGCTGCGGGCGGACGAGTCCCCCTACCGCTTCCAGGTAGGGCCCGAACCCCGGGGCTGCCCCCCGGGCACCCCAGGGCAGCTCCTCAGCCTCTTCCTCCCCGCAGACCCCCTACTTCTGGACCAGCACCAAGTGGCCGGCCACGGAGCTGGACTATGGTAGGTGCCACCGTGCCTCTGGCATCAGCGTGGGCTGAGACCTCTTCCAGCCCTTCCAGCCCCTTCCAGCCCCTTCCAGCCCTTCCAGCCCTTTCCAGCCCCTTCCAGCCCTTTCCAACCCTTCCAGCCCCTTCCAGCCCCTTCCAGCCCCTTCCAGCCCTTCCAGCCCTTTCCAGCCCCTTCCAGCCCTTTCCAACCCTTCCAGCCCTTCCAGCCCTTTCCAACCCTTCCAGCCCCTTCCAGCCCCTTCCAGCCCTTCCAGCCCCCTGAGCGCCGCCGCTTTCCTGCAGCCATTTACCTGGCCAAGAAGAACATCCGCAAGCAGGGTGACCTGATCGAGCACGAGAAGGTGAGCGGGGCCCTCCCCACTCCCGCCATGGGCTGGGGCAGTCCCGGCTCACCCCGGAGCGGGCGGGGGACGCGGCTGTGCCTGTGCTGCAGCCAGGCCAGGGGACAGGGCCACACCGCGGCTGTGTCGCTCCCCAGGACAACTACAACCTCCTGCACAAGCGGATCAACCACACGTGGGACTTCGTGGTGATGCAGGCGCGGGAGCAGCTCCGGTGAGTGCGGGCACGGCCGGCCCCGCCGCGCCCGGGGAGCGGCCGGGATGGAGCGGCCGGGATGGAGCGGCCGGGTGCCGGCAGGCAGGGTGCCAGCAGCACCTCCCCGCTGCCTCTGCACGGCCAGGGCAGCCAAGCAGCGGCGCAAGGGCGACCGCATCGTCATCGACTGCCAGGAACAGGCGTACTGGCTCGTCAACCGGCCCCCGGTGAGCGCGGGGCGGGGGCGGGCTGGGGGTGCAGCCCTGGCACCACGCACGGCCCCGGCCCGAGCAGCGGGGCTGAGGGGCTCAGGGGGTGCCCCAGCCCCCAGCATGGTGCTGTCCTTGCAGCCAGGAGCCCCCAACGTGCTGGAGCAGGGTCCCGAGCGCAGGAACTGCCACAGCACCCGTGTGCAGCTGGTGAGTGGGGGTGTCCGGGCACCCCAGCGGGCACAGGGCACACCCAGTGCCTGTGCCGGGGTGAAGAGCTGCCCCGGTGGGTGCCCATCCAGTTCACCCCACGCTGTGCCCACATTTTGGGGTGAGGGGTGAGCCCCAGCTCTGCTAACATCCGTGTCCCCCACCCCGAGCATGGAGGGTCCGTGTGTCTGTCCTTGCACCAGCATCCCTCTGTGCCAGCACCTCTGGTCCCCGCAGGGAGCCCTGGGGTGCCAGCAGCAGCCACCAAGCCCTTCCCAGTGTTGTGACCCCACTAATGCTGCCCCAGCACCCCCAGGCTGCCCTCACTAACCACCCACTTTCTCTTCTCTGCGCCGTGTGCCGTGTCCTGTGCCCATGTAAGTGTCACTAACCCGGGGCTGGTGTCACTCTAGGGTGTGGAGGGGGGGAGCCAGGGTTCATTCCATGGGCTGTGCTGGGGAATGAGGCTGGAGGCCACGGGGATGGGATACTGAGTCCCGGGGTGGGGGGCTGGGTGCCTGGATTGTCCAGGGTGGTGGGGCAGGACAGTGTCCCAGCCCCACCGTGGCCTCACCCAGCCCCGTGCGTCTCTTGCAGACCAAGAACATGGATTACTACAAGCGAGAGGTGAGTGGGGCCAGGGGTGGGGGCAGCTCTGGGGGGCACGAGCTGCCAGCCACCCCAACATCTGCCCTGCGCCTGGCCCCAGATCGAGTACTGCAGGAAGGCCATGGCCAGGACCAGGGTGAAATCCTCCATCTGCCTTGAGGGGTGAGTGCCAGCAGCTGCCCCAGCCACGGCTGGGTCCCTGCCAGGGTGACTGGGGCACCCACACCCCAGCAGCTGGTGCTGGCACCTCTGCACCCCAGCCCTGAGCAGGGAGTGGGGCTGAGGCTCTGCACAGCTCGGGCACATCCCCACCACGTCCCCTTCATGTCCCCACGGTGGCTGGGGTTGGTGGCCCTGGTCTCCTCCAGCCACCGCTCCTGGCAGGTACATCAAGTTCAACGAGCAGTATGTGCCCCACGACCCCATCATGTCCGGCTGCCTGCCCAGCAACCCCTGGATCACGGATGACACCACGTACTGGGCCATGAATGCCCCCACGTAGGTGGCCCAGCCCCCCAGAACCCCAATCTGCAGGTCTGTGGGGTCATGCAGGCTGCCATGGGCTGCCAGCCCCAATGCCACTGTCACCTACAGAGTGACAACCCCTACAAAGCTGCGCGTGGAGCGCTGGGGCTTCAACTTCAGTGAGCTCATCAACGACCCCTTGGGCCGGACACAGCTCCTGGAATTCCTCAAGAAGGAGTTCAGTGGTGAGGGGGCCCAGCCCCAGCCCTGAAACACCTCAGTCTTGGCACCCCAGTCCCACCATTCTGACCCAGCACTGCCAAACCCACCATGTCCCACTAGTGCCTAATCCACAACACCACAAACCCATTTAGTGCCTAATCCAGTGCCCAATCCCAGCATCACCAACCCACCATGTCC